CTCTGGTGGAGTAGCGAGAACGCGCTGAGGCGGGAGACGCGGCCCCGCGCCGGGCTGTGCTTGAGGTGACCGAGTTGTTGACTGAGGTAAAACTGTTGAAAAACGGCCTTTTTTTCCCACCCCCCCCGCACCCCTCCTCCCCTAGAGAACATGGCTGATGCGGGTTAAACGGGTTAAGGTGGTTTTGTTTTTTTAGATGGTGAAATCAGGTGCTGTGGAAAAACATGTCATCCCGGGGAATCCTTCCCGTTTTTCTGCTGTGTCCAGCCTCTGTTTCCAGGTGAAAGTGACATACCGGACCCAAGAATCCGTCCTTATTTCTTACGGGCAGCGGTCGCTCCAGTGGGGCTCCCAGAGCGCTGGCACCCCGTCCCGCTGGGCCCGAGTTGGGGGACAGCGTTGGACCGGGGCGGGCGAAGTCCCAAAGAAGCCAATGGCATCCAGTCACTGCGAGCGTCCCTTTGCCACCCTTAAAAATAGTCAAAATTCCCAACAAGAAACCGCGTCCGCGCAGACCTCATTTCGTGAACACCAGTGATTGTAGTAGCTGAAAACACTTTGCGATCTCCGGCTGCACTGCACGGAGAAAGAGGTGGTGTAGGGCTGTCGACACTGCCATTTGATCAGGCTGGACAACTTTAGCTGACTCCGAACAATATAAAGAAAAGAAAAAAGCGCCCATTACCTTATATGTTTTTCAAAAATAATTTTTATGGTCATATAATGAAATCTATGGTATGTTTCATTGTATTATAAGGTATTTAAGGCTGATGATGACCTGTAAGTCACTCTTCCAATCTCATTTTCCAGTAGATTGTAAAAGGAAGTACATTTTTAAAAGCTAAATTAACACTATCAGCTGAAATCTTAATATAATGTCAGAATTCAAATTGCCTGATTATACTTACTGTACTTTTTTATTATTTCTGTTGCAGTTTTACTGTTGTATTAAAAAAAAAAAAGCAAGCTTCTTAATTCTTTCAACTATTTAGCAACGATCAGCTATTGGAAAGACTTAATTCTTTTTGAAGTACCAGTCGTTATAGAAGGCACCCTCCAAACTAACTTTTTCTTTCCCAGTTCAAAGACCAATCTGCATATTGTTGGCAATATGGTAAGCTTTTGCCTTGTGAAGATGTGTTGTTCCTAGCTGTGGGAGAACACTGGAAAGTGACGTTTTGTCAGCTGGGTGATTTAAAGCAAGAATTACTAGTAATATTGTGCATTTTTCTTGGACCAGCTGCGTCATGTTCTTGTGTTTCCTTTTTTTTGAGCAGCAAATTGTTTTGAATGTTAGTTTATGGAAGCTGTTCCGGTGGTGGTTGTGCTGGTGTGATGTCTTATAGGTGAAGTACGTAGTGAGTCAACTTCTCCAGGTGAACTTTTATTCTGTTTATCTTGCCTTGCACAAACACTTTCCTATTAATTCTATAAAATGCATGATATTTACTGTTGTCATTGTTTTCACAGTCAGTACTGAGGTGTTTTGGTTGAATTGTAAGTACATAAGTGATACTTATATTCAGTTCATGTGATTGCTCTGAAAGTCAGCATTTACTGTATGACAAGCATACAGGACAAAGTAATTTTTGGCTAGCAAAAGGTTGAGCACATGGTATAGCATTAGTTACTAATTTTTCAGTGGAAGAGATCAATCTGGGAAATTAATTGATTGTGTATTTTTGCATTTTTTTGGTAGTTGAAGTAATTTTTACGTAACCTATAAAGACTTTGGCTTTAA